TTTGTTGTGAGCTATTTTTTAGATAAATACATACTACTTACAAAAACCCTTGCTAGGGGAGAAAATAAGTGTGTTTTTGTGCATGTGGTTTTTGAGGGGGATTTTTTGTTTTGTTCTAAACATAAGCAGTAAATGAACTAGGCATTTGCTCTATGAACACATGGAATTTTGCTTAGCCTGTGCTGTAAGTCACTGGATCCAGTGCAAGTAACTTTGTACTGGAATGGTTTTTGCTATGCTAAACACTTAAATTGTGTATCCAATCCTTCAAAGTCTCAGTTTATGCAGTGTTCAAAGCTTTAGAGGGTTGGGTCAATAGTGTATTTGTTCTGAGTAGTTGTTCCCAGATAGCAATAACAAAAATCCAAAACTTCCGTTTACATCATTTAATATGCCTAAAGGCTTAGCAGTAGACACTAATAAGAAAAAAAAAACACTTGTTTTTTTTAAATGGTCTCTATTATTGAAAATAAGAATTACACTTTCAGAAGGCAAAATGAATGTTTTGCCAGCTCTGGGCCAAAGACAATTTTGTTTTTAAACTGGAACAGTAGCAGGCATAAAAGGGAATTCAGGGAATTGCATCTTCTCCTTGAAGGCAGTCGTGAATCTTTTGACTGCCCCAGACTGCATGCTATACCGATTGCAAGATGGGCATGTCTTGTGAATCCTAAGCAACAGGCTTTATTTATCAGAGCATGCAGAGTGTGATGGTTAGTAAGAATGAGGCAAATTAGGCAATTCCACCAGTCCCTATGAAAACTTATTTCTCAGTTGAGCAGTACTTTCAGCTCTACTAGATAGGTGCTACCATTTGCTGTTTAACGAGTGCCCCCTACCACTTTCTTAACTTAAACTAATAATACTAATACTTAAGAAGATTTCAGCCAACATTTACACAGACAGCCTTGAAATGCTCAGTGTATTTTCAAATTACATTTGTGCAACTTCTGTAAAATAATAGTGATATTTTTAGGAATAAAGCAGCACAATCTCTCATCTATGAGAAACTACACATGAAAATTACAAAGTATTTGTTAGCGACTGTGATAGATTTGCATGCATGATAGGTTTGCATGCAGAACTTTCACAGAGGAAAGAAAATGCAGGAACACCAAAATGCATTTACAAAGGAGATAACGTGATCAGACAGCAATTTACCTCCTTACATCTTCAAAAAAAAAAAAAAAACAATTCTAACTGAACGTAGTCTGCCTTTAGTTGGTATACAACACTGCGTAACAAACGGCATTTAAAATGCTCCCCCCTTCCTCCCCAAATCTTCCTAGATAGCATGTAGATACAAGTTCTTGATGCTTAACCTGGAAACAGAGACACAGAACTCAAGAAGCACCTCTTTTCCAGTGAAAACATGCCTCCCATTTGAAGACCTGGGGCAGTGTGCCTTAGATGCTAATAGCTTGACTTGTGTGCAATAGCCCTATATTGTTTATATAGCACTTCACATGCTCAAAGCACTATCTGAGATATCAGCCATTACTACACTTTTACGAGGCTGTAAGTATTAACCACTAAACTTTAGGGTTAAATGACTTGCCATTGATCAAAAGTAACTTTGTGTGGCAAGACCATAATTATTTGAATTTGGCAATTCCTGCAGTCCATTCCTATGGTGTCTCAGAAAGAAGGAAATGGGATATTAAAGCAAGTTGTTACTGCACTATGCTATGACTGTGAGATATAAGCACATAGAGAACACTAAGTTCAGTTTGTGCTCCAGCAGAATTTTTTCCTGTATTGGGCAACTTTTAGGAAGAAAGTAAAGGCCAAAATAAAATGAAGTATTTTAAAAGCCCCAAGCATGTTCTTCTGAATTTTCATGTATATAGTAACTGTGAAGAATATAAGAGACAACCACTGTTAATGCCATGTTATATGACAACCACTGTTGTCATATAAAAGACAATCACTGTATTCACAACACTGCTGCCATTGGGTCTCAAAGCATGAAACAACATACAAACTATATGGAAATAATCTACAGGTCCCAGATAAGATGGAGATCCATATTCATTTATTCTGAAACAGTTTTAATTTATTTTAAACCAAGGAGATTAGTAGGCACCAAGGACCAAGGCGAGTCAAGACAAATCATCCCCTTTTTTGCAGCTAAAGAACTGCAAGCTATTGTCTAAGACTTGGTTACAGTAGAATTCAGACTAATACCTCTTAGCCATATAGAATATTTTTCTTTCCATTTTTATGCTGACTTTCATCCTATCAAAATGGTTTGCTAACATTTATAGTCCAGCCTCAAAATACTAAGTCTCCCTTTCCATGAAATAAACATTTAGCCTTACAAATCTTATTCGAAAAATAAGACAAAGGTGCAGATATTGAAAGAAAACCAGTCTTGGTACCTAGGACGACCAAATACAAGCTTGAAATAAAAGCTAAACAAATTGCATCTTGAAGAATATGTTTGAGTTACTGGCCTTAGAATCCACACGATCACATGGGAAACACAGGGTAGCACTAAGACAAAAATGCAGATCTCCACACATGATCCAGGTTCATCCAATAAGGAAAGGGTGCCTGTTTAAGGCTAACCACAAGAGGAGGAGGGAGGGTAAGAAGTTATCTTCAAAGGGAGTAATGACTACAGAAAGTTAACAACAGAACCTAGTGTACTTTAGTCAAGTCAGTCATGTTGCTCCTAATATTCACCTCGACCACTGTCGAATGTCCAATTGACATTTTTTGAGTACAGGTCACAGAACTCTATGCCAGACTGTTTGCAATTTCTACTATTTTGACTTCCATTGCCTGGAAAGTTAGATTACTGAAATGTTTGCTAAAATATTAAACTCTAAGCATAATGTCAGTAGGTGAGCATTGTTTCATGGATATTAATGTAAAAAGCAGTTACCGTACTCCATCTACTGATTTAAAGAACAGATGTTTGCATATGATTTATGGACACTGAAATACGTGCATATCTTCCATAAATAGTAATGTGTTCCAGTAACAGAAAGTGGAGAATTGTAGTTCAAAAAGGCTGGGAAACTAAAGGCAGTATTAGAATTTATTCACCAATTTCTTGTCTTTAAATAATAATAAAAAAAAAAACCACCACACACACAAAAACTTACAGGTCCAGTGCTACAACCCTTTATGCTGGAAAAGCTCTTACAATTTCAAGCAGGACTAACAGCATGAAGTAGTACTCACATAAATTGCACAGCCAAGCACAACAGCTAAAATATAAAAGTCTACTTAGAAAAAAATGAATGCAACTGTGATTTGTTAAATAAAAGTAATAAATTATATTGAATGAGGTACAGTAAGTTTAACACAGTAAGCAAAAAGCCAATACTACCTCGTATAGGTAGCATCCAGGTTTCCATTAAGCATCCATTAAGTTTTATTTTGGAAGTGCTTTAGTATCAAAATTTAACAAATCACTAGCCAGGTAAAATTCTAATGGGCAAAGTATAATTTAATTGCAGAGTTTGAAAGTATTTCTGGAGGTGCAATCAAGTACTTGATTGAGTTGATATCGTCACTACTCCTCACATTTGCACTGCTTCTAAATTAGCTCAGCTAATCAGCATCCCTTCTCTTTGACTGTTTTACAGACATGTAATATTATCTGACGGGTCTAGTTTCAAAAGCACAGTCATTTTTTTGACAGCAGACTTGCTCAAAAATTTTGTCAAAGGCTACAGACACATGAACTTAGCACATTTGGAGATGTGTTCGTTTTTGGGCAGGTAGAACTTTGAGAGGACTCAACAAATGGCAGATTGTAATGTGCCTGTATGTCACCCAAGTTTTTATTTGGTTTAAAAATGATCTTGTGGTTATTTCTTTGAAATGGTTTTCTGGTATGCCAAGATATTTCCCACTCTTATTTCATTGGCAATAATGAGAATAATTCTGCATAACTTTAGACTTCTTCATATCACAACGTAAAAAAAAAAAAAAAAAAAAAGTAACCCTGTAGAAAGCAGAATTTAAACAAGGCAATCACAATTTTCCCTCCTGTGTGAGGCTGGCATGCACTAGCACTTCAAGATGTTACACAGCTGCTGCTCTTCTCCAAAGATGGCTGTACTCCAGTAAATGGTGACATGTTCCCTAATATATCTTTTCCAGCAAAGGGTTAAAGAGATGTTACCATGTTTCCACAGGTTGAAGGCAAGATGAAAATGCGATTGTCTAGTTGATTTCTCAGGAAACATTGGCCTTAAAATTACTGCATTAGTAAATAGGAGCCAATTGTACACTTTAATGCACTGCACAAACAACTATAATCAGTGTTTGTAGAATACAGTGAGTCTCGGATTACGGTGCAGGTAATCCTGAAAGAACAGGATTCTGTTCTTGCAATTTCTACCACCACTGCAGAAATTAACACTTTTCATTCTGTCAGAGAAAGGCCTTCCTCTTCATGGCTACATGGAAATTTTACTTTCAGCATATAACTCAAAGACATGCAAAAATAAATTGAAGCTCTAATAAGAGACAGCTGGATTTAATTCCTTTTAGTGGAAGCACATCACAATGTCAGTGTATAATGAGATTTATTATTGCTGTTAATTTATTGCACATATATGAAGATTTGGCATTTGAGAATACTTTAGTCAAAAAGATGAAAAACAGAAAAGGTACTTAAAAAAAGACTGATCATTCTACTTCACTTCTTTTTCCAGATGAATCTCCACGTGCCAGCTGGTGTAAATGCAGATTCCACTGACGTCAATAGAGCTGTGTCAGTTTACACTAGTTGAGAATCTGATCAAGTGTTTTAGTGCCATTTTTAGACACTGCCACTGGAATTCACTTTTGTGACAAAATTAAAAATACATCCAACTGCATTGCATTTCTTCCTGTCCCCAGGCATACAACTGGAAGCCTGCTGACAGACTAGGAGAGGGCAAGTGGGAGATGGAATTAATGGAAGTAACCTACAACTGTACCCACAAGATAACTTTGCAATATGAGTATTAATACTTTTGCTCTGTTGTCTCTTTTAGACAAATGAATATTTGCCTGCAAAACTTTTACTGCACCTCCCAGGAAAAACTCAATCCCAGTAAAGGAAAAAGATGATGTAAGCCATGCAGAGTATCTACCACAGAAGTAGGTTAACATACTATTTTAATCAGTGTACAATGTATATAGGTTGTTTTTTAATGCATTATTAGGGAAATTATCTAAAGTTTACAACTAGTAAGAAACCCCAGCCTGAGATCTATTTATTCACATAAAATATTTGTTCCCAAAAGCTCTCACTACTGGAGAAGTAGCAAGATTGTTTAACACACACGCGCGCACACACACACTTGACTTAACCAGCAAAGCGAGACCTGTGTGACATCTGTGATCTATATTTCAGTAAACATTTGTGGGGGGAAGGGAGAAAGGAAGGAAGGAAGAGGTAGGGCAATAAGCAGGACAGAGTAGTGCCTTATGGCTCCCGCCACCAGGGAAAGGGAGCTTTTATTATTGTTTTGCATACAGCAGCTGTTAAACATGAATACACCGCATGACAAAATCTAGTTGCCAGGATTAACCAGTATAATGAAGCTGAACATTTCCCTTTTGATTTGATATATAAAAATCAAAATGCAAGAGCTAGCTAATTAGAACTAAAGATGCAGCTCGCATAATATTGAGGTAGTCGTTTGTTTGTGCAGAACAACATCCGTATCTTCAATTTAGGTCAGACCATCAAGAAGAGGAAAAGGACTGAAGACGAGATGCTCTATTTCACACAGTTGCCCTCTGGAAGGGCTGGCAAAGGCAGTCACTTAAATTAGGTACAGGTCATCAGACAAGATATCTTATCTATTCCTAAAATAGGCAATTCCAACAGTCCAAATCCCTACAGCCTTTACAACGACACAATGAACTACTTCCTCATGTACCTCTGTCAATTCGTGTTAGGTTCCTGGATTTTTTTTTAAGCGATATTTCATGTACACCATGACCCTATTGCTCATAGCAAGGGAAATGCTCTGGTTTATTTATGACCTACTAACCTTCTAAAAAAAAAAAAAAGAAAGGAAAAAAAAAGACAAAGACAGAAAAGACAGAAGATGAAAGCATTTTTACCCTGCATAACCTGCACGCACCAAGCATCATGGCTGTAACGGAGAATTACTTTTTTTGTACTTTGAACAAGTTTCAACCCCCTTCAGTACAGGCTAGGTAACCAAGATATACTGAGGTTTTTCCACTAGGGGTGAAGGGAGGGGGATATAACAGTAAACATTAAAAATAATCACTTTTAACACATTTCACCCAGCCGTAGCATCTACATAGCTCCTCTCCTTCCCTAC